CCCTCTGCAGGTTGTTCTTATGAAGCAGGGACCTGCAGCAATAGGTGGGGTGGCTGCAGTCCTATATGGAGTCAGCAACACAGCACCAGCCCGATCAAAAAAATACAGCAGCACCAGGAGGTATTTTGCATTTAGGAACATGCATACACATATTTGTTTCTTCCATAGGGACCCCCAAGAGAACTGAGCAGGTTGCAGACAGGTTTTAGAGACTCACCCTCACACAGCAATGCAAAAACAAAGCACTACTTATTATTTCCCTCAACAGAGGGCTGGCGTAGCAGAGCAGCTTACCTCTGAGTGCCCTCTGAGTGCTTTCTGTCACCATCTAACAGGATGACATTCAAAAGAGATGATTTTGAGAGGCATCCCAAATTCAACAGATGAATCCAAACTTTACCTGGAAAAGTTGGACCCCCTCATGCTACCTCCAGGCTTTCTCCTCCCACAGGCATCAAAAAAGGATATTAGTTTAACTTCATTGGTTTATATCAACACCATAGTATCTGACTACCCAAAATGGTAGCAAGGGAGGGGGAAGCCAAACAAAAATCCACCCCCCAAAAAAACCTTCAGAAAAATCTTATCTTCTTCCAAAACATCCCCCTACAGAACCTTCTGACCTTCACAACTGCTTCATAAGGTGAGGTCCTTGATGCTCTTTATATTCACCCCAAACAAATGCATCCATTCCTTCTTCATTTTAACTGCCCTGCCAGATGGTATCTTTTCAATGAGATCTTCATTAGAAGTAGCCTGTGGAAGCAGTACATCGGATCCACCTGGGACAAACTGCAATAAATCTCCTCTCCCTCTGCTTGCACTTCAATGTAGCTTTGGGATTCTCTTCAAGAATCTTCTTTTACTGCTTGCTGTTGTTTTCTGGCTGAGTAGTTCAGAAGTCTAGCTATATGCCTTTATTTCAGCTCCAAGTAATAAAAGCTATGGAAACATCTTTCTTTTCCCCTACAGAGCTAGGATTCAGTAAAGCGGATGAATGAATGGATGGATGGTTAGCTCCAGTATCTTCCTCCCTAGTTCCAGTATGTCTTTTGAAGGTGCCCATCTCATTCTGTAGGTACCTGGGCCATATCTTTAATACATATTTCATAAGTTAAAGCAACCTTACCCGCCTGTGTCCTACCTAGGGTCTGAGCAGAGCTGGCTCCCATAGCCATGAGCAGGCCTGTGATGTGGTAATAACACAGCCCTGTTCTTCCATCCACCAAAGGTTCTAGTACATGTAACTGCTTCTGTTAGCTGATTTTCAAGACAAAAATGAAGCAAGCAATGTAATGATTATAATAATAATCTTCACAAGCACCACTTCCTCGGTTCCTGAGGAGGCTTTGCTGGTGGGAAATATTCAGCAATAGAATTTATTGAGAGTCTGGATTTGTGCTTCCCTCCCCACCTCCCCCCCCCCCTTAAGTTATATGAAAGTTTTCTATTCATCATGAAGATTTATTGATTGTTCTAGGGCTATGGGATAATTAAATATACAAAGGTTTGGCAGCTGTAGTAGAGAATATTCTTTTAGAAATGCTAAACCATGTTAAATCCAAGGAATCCTACTCCTAGTACTCCAAGGGGGTCATAAATAAGTTCCGTGCAGGGAATATAAATACAGATGACACCATTTAAAAATCATGACTATAGCTATTGAGTTTATACTCACATCTTCCTTAGTTACTGAGATTTGTAACCCCTCCCCCTCACTTCCATTACACTTATTTTATGGCTGAATAAAATCATATATATGTGTCATTCATGGGTTTTTAGACTCATGAGGACTTATGTCCTAGAATTAAATGGAAATACATCATTCTGCAAGTATCCCCAACTTCTATGGAAGGTCAATTCTTTCCACCCCTCCCCTCCCAATGCTAGCTGTCCATCTATGAAACAGGGGGCTATCTGCCCTCCGAGTGAGAGTTTTATTGCTAAAATAAAGTAAAAATGGTTTTAAAGCAAAGAACACACATCTTTATAGTAAAACTTGAGTTTGTTTTACAATTAGAGAAAAGAGTCACATGGTCCCCCAAAAAACCCCAAGTTTTATATATATATCTTTTGAAAATATATTTAAAAACATAAAAAACTCTATAGTTAAACATATATTATGTTAATCAGTACACTTAAATATAGCTTAATTATATTTACAGTATGACGCAGTTGCTTTTAAATTTTAATGCCAATTTCAGCTTTTCCCCCAAACCATAAAATTATATAAATATACAATAAATATTTATGTTACACAAGGTGAATAATAGAGAACAAGGCCACAGACATTAACTTACAGTTGCAAGAGTCTTTACTTTAACACAGCACTAGGCCTGCTGACATGCATGATATACCTTTGTCACAAACAGACCACAGCAAGAGTTCCATTAAGTGACATGAAAGAAAACTGCCCCCACCCCTCCTTCCCATCTCTGTCTTAACTGAAACTGCCAAGCCTGGGCTCATGGATATATTAGGTCAGGCAGGTGAGAGCCATGGGAATGCAGTTTAATTGCCAGTTTCACATTGTATCAATAGGCATTGAATTGGTGGAGTATAAGGAACCACTCCAGATGTGGATACAGAACACAGTTCTTCTGTAGGTTCTTAGCTCCATCCCTTAGGCCCCCTCTCACCTGCACAGACTGCCCTCTACCCCTCTGAACCTACCACCCCACATCAGCACCACCCTGACCTATGTTGGGTGAGGATTGCTGAGTTAAGGCTATAGCCATAATTAACTTTAGGAATGAGGAACTTTATTTCTAGCATGGGTTATGCATTAACACTTCTCTTTTAGAAATTCAATTTCTTAGAACTGGGAATTGTTTTATTCCTGTATCTGAATTAAATTACTGTCATGTCCTAGCTATCATTTCTTTTTCCAGTCTAGATGAGTGATCCATTTGTTATTCACTCATCCTTTCCCCTCCTAAGCGACCAACCCTGGTTTTAAGGGGAGCCACCGTTACACCATCTCTCTGCTGTAGTTTAGGAATATTGCTGAGAATAGCTCCTGAGCCATGTCTGGATTATTAAATGCACAGAATTATAATACACACACAGGTATTGGCCACAGAGGAATTGAATTCTCCCTTATACCAACATTTACTTTGCACGAAGAACAATTCAGTTGAAGTTTTGAGACATTTCATTAAGTTCTTTCCCCCCCCCCCCCCCATTTCTGATATCTGTGTGGGAGCCTGAATAGCTGCAATTGATTGGGAAGGTCAAGGTTTGAAGTTCAGGTGGGACACACAATTTCCTCTTCTCTATCACAATCCAGTGTGCACAGGGCCAATGCAAAAGGTTTTCACTGCACAGCTGGGCTGGTTCCCTTTTGCCCATCAGTTATCCCAGGGAAGGGGAAGCCATTCTAGCCTAAGTAGAAGAAATTACTGATTTTGAAATGTTAGCCTCTGTTAGCTTCCAGCATGGGTTTCTACTAGAAAGGACATGAAGTCAGTGTTAAATATGCTCTTCAGAGAGAATTACTGTGGGGGAGCATATTCCAAATAAGCTTTGCCCAGTTCAGGTTTTTAATTAACTCAAACAGTGAGGCAGATTAACGCAGATTCTGCACCATTCAGAAGTAGTGATATTTCACAGTACTTCCCTCTTTGTTCAGATACTTTTCTTCATCTACAGGAATTACAAATATAGCATCTGCCTCCAGTGAGCTCACCAATGAGCTATTTCTGCTTCTCTGCCCACTGTAGTCAGTGCAAGTGCTATGCACAACTCCCAGGCTTCCAGCCTGCCTCTTTAGACATACTTCAGGATAGTTAGAGGGGCAGTGCCCAGTTAATACGTATATCAGAACCTCAGCAACATTAAGCAAACTCCTCCAGCACTTGCTCTCCATGTACTTCATGAGTATATTTTTTTCTTATGCCAATATTTGTTTCATAAAATAAGGCTGACAGCAGAGGTAGAGCCACACAAACTCCAAGTGCTTCATCTAGAAGCAAGGCTTCTTCCCACCTCATTCCCCAGCTATCTTCCAGGCAGGGATGCTACTGCAGTTTCACAACACACTTTGAAGGCCTAGGGCTGCTGGAGATGCCCTGGAGGGTAAAAGTGTAAGTGGAAAAGGCAAGCTCTCCCTCTCACAGGATGCACAGGACAATGTTTAGGGCTGACTACTCAGTCAAAATAAAACACTGCTCTCTGTCCTTGAACTCACTGAGCTACTCAGTCCCATGACCAACCAGACAAACCAGGTTGAACCTGCAGATCCACCATCACCTTTCTAGACATTCCTTCTAGTGCCATTCTTGTTGTGCTTCACCAAGACATTTGAACCCACCACAGAGACTTTTATTACATGAAGATCATTGCTCTCAACACTCTCTATATAGAGTATTTTCTATATGACAAGCTCCAGTTGCATGGTAAGTGAAATACTTCAAAGATCACAACCACCATCCTTCCAGAGGGAGGAAAAGAAAAACAAAAATCAAACACAAACAAACATGGTATAAGCAAATGCAGGTCTCAAAAGACAGCAAATAAAAAAGTTAAAATAATTAAAAAAGAAAAGAAAATACTCCAAAGAAGCATGTTGCCATACAGTTAATTAAGTGCTGTCTTTCAGCTTCTACGATGTGAAGTGGAACAGTGGAACATCACCATTCTTTTTCAGTTGCCTCTTTTTTTATTATTTTTTGTCAGTAGTTGGACTGCTATTGCAAACACCTTTACAACATACAAAAAGAAAATTGGTTTTTAATCCAGGATAAGGTAACGAGAGGGTTTTTTTTCCTTTTTCAATCTGAAGGGAGTTCAAAAGTAAAACAGAAACAGGAAAACTATGACAACAGCACCTTGACATTGTTTAATTCCAACGCTATCAGGAGTTAAAAGCAGTAAACAGATATAATACCAACAGGAATAAAGATACTCACTGTCTAAAATGTAAACGGAATGTTTTGGTTCAATTTATTTTTCTGAAAGAGGACAGTTTATCATCAATTCACAACTGAAGCAGCATGCAATTTTATTCTTTGTTTTTTTTTAAATCTTTTTCTATTATCAATTCTTGGCAACGGCGACAAACCACAATGTTCTCAAGGAATGTAATGCAGACTTTGCTGTTTGCTTGGGTCTCTTTTTTTGGTTTTTTTTTGTGTTTTTTTTTTGTTTGTTTTTTTTTGTTGTTTTTTTTTAACCTTGTGCGCAAATGACTTTTGTTCCCCTTCAGGTCATGGATATGTTCAATAAATAGATTGTGGAACCACTGTACTGTATAAACTTCAGTTATACATGCAGTCCATAAAATTATTTTTTTACCGAATAATTTACCCTGTTATGTATATATACAAATAGATAATTTTGTCTCAATATAATCTATACAACACAAACCCACTATCTTCCCCTTTTAATGGTTAATGTACATACACAGGAAGTGTCTATCCTTATAAAGCGCCAGCCAACTCTCTTTTTATTATCCATAGTGAGAGCTCTCACGTAAGACTGGGTAGTTCGGCACTGGGAGTTCCAGTGCCTCTTGTCTATGCCCCTGCAGCCCTCCTTTGTGTACCCCTTGGGGTTGCATTTGGTCTCATAGAAGTATTGCTTCAGTTGGCCTTTGGGTACTGGGACTTTCTCCAGGACAGTGACAGTTGCCCCGGACATGTCCACTGCAGTCTTTTTCTCCGCCGCTGTCACCCACTCGCTCGTGCTGTCGCAGACGCTCAGTTCCCCACGGCGAGCTGGGTCAGAGTGGCGCCGGACCCTCATGGACATGTTTGCAGCATCCAAGTAGTTTTTGTACTCCTCAAGCAGAAAGAGCAGTGGGGGTTCCAAAGGCACTTGACTGCTTAGCATGACTCGAGATGTGTACAAGTCTGCATCCTTGTTTTCCTCGCTGGGCTGGATGTCCTGGTCTTCATCTAGAAGCTCCTCTATGACATGTTCAAAAGTGTCCGCCAGTGAGGTCAGTCCTCTTGAACCAGCGTTGGGCCCATTTAGGCTCTCAAGAGTCCCGTGGGTCCGAAGACCTGGGTAAGCCAAGCTGCCTTGTCCTCTTACACTAGCTTCTTTCATCGGGGCAGCTTTCATGCAACTGAAGTATGAGATAACCATAGTAAGGAAAAGGATGGTCATCACTCTTCTCACTTGGTGGAACTGTTAAGGACAAGAAAAAGGAAAAAAAAATAATTTAAAAGGGATGGAGTAATAATAAAATTCACCTGAGCTGTCATGAGACATGCGTTTTCTGCAGAGATTTGCTGCATGCAGCCGCAACTCATTACCCCCAGTAAAACTTACCCTTGTACAAAGGTATTCGTTGATTCACAGTTTCAGAGAAAGCATATGCCAAAGCTTGGGCAACACTGATGCCACCAAGTCAGAGTTCTTACATGCCAAAGTCTTCCTGTAGTAAGTATTAGATTAAACACTATGCAACCTCCTTATTTATTGACTGATTACACCTATTTAAAGTAACAGCAAAGGCAGAACTGATATTGAGCAACGCAACATTTCAGCAATAAAAGGCAGCTTCAGAAACGTGACAGGCAAGACTTTCATCTCAAGTGGAAATATTTAAGATCTCTCTATGCCAAAATATTTTGTTGTTCTATGCACAATCCCCTCCCCATCCACCCCCCAAAAAGCACCAGGATAAACTGCATTTGTATTTTGAAAGCAATCTTCAAAACACAAGAAGCCAATGCCACACAGTTCTGACATTTCAGCAGGTCAATTCCTCAACTAAAAGTAGAAGGTATGTGAGTATAAATACAGAACGAGAAAATGGTCCAGCACAGTAGACTAAATTTGAGCAGGACAGCTTGCTTGCATCAGGTGAATGCTGTGGAAGGGACCTGTTGGATTACAGGCTGTTAAGAGCTACACTGAAATGACAGTACTAGAACCACTGTACTGTATTTTGCCAAAGCCCTATAGTGCCTGTTCTCAAGCAAGCAAAGCAGAAATCCAGCAGCACAACCAGCCCTACTGCCACACTCAACAAGCTTGCTCATTTCTCTCACCCTCTGCCCCAAGTTCGGGCACATGTTACGCTTTGAGGCTTATGTGTATGCTTGGCTCTGTCTTCATTGAGCATGGAGGGGTAGCACCAGGAAAGTGCCGGTATGAAAACTCCTCCCCAGGCTTGGATTCTGCACGACTCACTCTTCTCAGCCCTCCCAACAGCTTGGGCTTGTGTGACTGCTCCTTCCCAAGTGCTTCACTAAGTCTCCGTAGATTGTACATTCCTCAAAGCAGAAATGTTTTCCTCCTCAAGTGCAGAGTACACACTGTGTACTATTACAAGAACCGCCAAACCCTGCAGTGACAGACAGCTATATTTTGACCTATCTCAAGAGCTACTACAACATCCATCACATCCAGTTGTTATTTTTTCTCTTTCTGATCCCTGCTCTCACCAGTTCTGCTTGCTAGAAAGCAATGGCATTGTTCACATTTTTGAAGCAGCAGCTAATGCTTGTTTCAGAGCTTTTGAAGTTCATTCGGAAGTACCTCATACTTGGCAACTCTCATTGGAGTAAATGCTATTTCTGTTTGCCAACAGGGTGTTATGTTAAAAGGCTTACTTCATCTCTTGCAAATATGCTGTGGGAAACTAGTACTCTTAAGACTGGAACATGGAAAGACAATCTATCATAAAGCATACAAAGAAAATGAAATATGTACTGGAATGGCAGTGCCCAAAATGTAGGTCTCAAATTATACTTAATGGAGTGTGGGGAGAGTGGGAAGTGTTTGGGTTTGTGTCCATGCCCCTCTCAAACAACGTTTTGGCTAAGAATCTGGCTGGCTACCCAGCACAACTCTTTTTCCATCTCTCCATCCTTCTTCCTGTTTAAAAGTGTTACTGTGGCATAGATTTATTAAAATTAAACAAACCTGACATGTGACTCACAGGAACATAGTGTTTGCTCTAACCATGTAGAACACTAATATTTTGCAGATTTTTTTCATCCTTGGATTTTTATAACATTCTACAGGGAGCAATACCAGATTTCTTCCTCAAAGGGGAGGAAGAGAAACACTTAGAGAGATGATTTACAACTCAAGGAAGGTGGTTATCAGTCTTCCTTTATCAAACAAGGAAAGACAAGCTAAGAGGGAGAAAGGGTGGTTCATACAAACGCAGAGCCAGTGGAACAGGCAACACAAATAATTCATGTACTCTGAAAATTGTTTTATATAAAACTTAAAAGGAAAAATCCCCAAACACCCACATCAAACTCTGTGACCACCAGAGCAGCGAACACACAACACAGATCTTCTGGCTCCTTATCAAGTTCCTGTTATTTTCATTAGAGTAGTGCCCAGAGATCCCAGCCAATATCTTGACTCTGGAGGACAGATTTTGTCTGAGCACATAGTAGTACCCCAGGGGCCTTCCAGTGCAAAAGATAGAGGACACCACACAAGAGGCACCAAGACCAGCACAAAACAAAGAGAAGATTGCACCCATCAGCTATATACACTGGTTGGAGGCTGGACATTTACTTTTCAAGGTAAGTAGGTCAGCCTTAAGTTAGGCAGGATCTTTGGACCAGGCCACATCCTTCACTGTTGTCACTGAGCTGTTTACCTCATGGTAGCAGTGAACTTGGAGGGATGTGAAATGAATAGAATAGCAGCTATGCAACTTGATTCACACATATATTTTTCTTACACAGAAGAAGACTGAAGAGACGTGGAGAAACCTCACCAATTGACTTCAGTAAGACCTCAGCATCCTCTGCCAATGGCTGGTTGGTCACCAGATCCAATAGTACTTTATAGCTCATGTTAAATTAATCCTTCCTCAATCAATCTTGCCTTCCATTTAGCAAGGAAACTGCTGTCAAGCTTGATCAATTTACATCTCATCTGATGACATACAACCACTGCTGTTATCTGACTGGCAAGAAACAGTGTACAACTGGGCTCTGAAAACCAGGAACTACAAGACAGCCATTATCCATATAACATACTGAAAACACACAAGGAAATGTGTCCACCTGAAAGCCACCCTTCTTCCTCCCATTTATAACAGTAGAAGAGTATGGCACAGTAAGCTTTAGCAGCACAGACATGCAATCCTGCTAGCAAGCAAACAGATCAAACATCTACTTCTTTGTAAATGAATCCCAGACTATGCCTAACTGTATGAGCAGGATATGAAAAGGTTATTCTATCTGAGGATTATACACAATCCTTGTCTTTGGCAGCAAAATAATATCAAATTATTTAATAGAAGAAAACAATATTTTAACACCTAGGAAATCTCTTCATTTTAAAGGCCATAGTAATTTCCAGCAGCAGCTGCTCAAAATCTACTAGTTTAACATCCTATAGCAGAGCAACATTTAAATCTCACTTCATGGGTAGAAACACCACCTTTCAGCTACTGTTGAACTGACTCATGAATACATGGCTCATGAGTCAGTTCATGAGTTAGTGAGGCAGGACTAATACTCCAATGTGGCACCAAAAAGACCATTGGAAACACTTTGGATGGCAGCTTCAAGTCCTTTCCCTCGGCTCCCTAACTATCTAACCTTCATTATATTGCAAAGATTAAAGATACAGCCTGCCCTGTTACACTAATATACTAAGGGGCTTTTTACAAGGGCCTGTAATGACAGAACAAGGGGAACGGCTTTAACCTGACAGAGGGGAGATCTAGACATAGTTTAGTATGTGGTGTCCCTGCCCATGGCAGGGGGGTTGGAACTAGATGATCTTAAGGTCCTTTCCAACCCTAACCCATTCTATGATTCCACAATCAGGAAGAAATTCCTCCCTGTGAGGGTGGTGAGGCGCTGGCACAGGCTGCCCAGAGAAGCTGTGGCTGCCCCATCCCTGGCAGTGTTCAAGGCCGGGTTGGACGGTGCTTGGAGCAACCTGGTCTAGTGGAAGGTGTCTCTGCCTTTGGCAGGGTATTGGAGCTGGATGAACTTTAAGGTCCCTTTCAACCTAAGGCAGTCTAGGATTCTGTGTTCATTCTCATGGCTGCAAGAACATCCTTCCTTCTCCCATGCAGCATAGTAAAGCTGAAGCAATGAAAAGAGGTCACCCACCATAGACCAGATCTCAGGAAGGCGTGACCTAGTTTGTACTTCAATAAAGTCCACACAATTACAACTAGAATAAGGGCACATAATTGTGGCAGTTGTCTCCACTAATGGGAAGGAGGCTCATTAAATGAAGGTCATGTCAATTATCTACTGCTAGTTTACATATGCAGTCAATTACCTAGCTGTACAACTTATTTAGATACTTACATTTAATGAGGATTCACCACTTAATTGTTTGATTTCATTATTTTTAGTTATTTTAAGTAGAAATCTAGCAGCTTAACAGGTTGTATTTCCAGCAGAGAGACCTGAGGGACAGCTGTGAACATGCGTTTGCTTTTCTGCATCCTGATACGTGCCATGAAAGCTGAAGTAACTTTCAGTAGTGAACAGATTCATAATGCTTTAGTCTCCAGCAAGAAGTGTGTGGTGGAAGATAAAATTAGCAGCAAGGAGACATTCATTTTCTGCCTTGGCATTTTTTAAGACCTTTATACACAAGTTCAATTTACTAAATACTATTGAACAGCACAGGCATGAGTTCCTGCTCTACGCATCATTACCAGAGTGTGTGAACAGATACCAAAATGGGATGCATGTCAGCACATGATTTGCAGAGACTAAACATACTGAGAACAAATAGTATTAACCTTTAACACATGCATAACTGGATGTCTGACACACTGGTTATCCTCTCGGCTATTTATGCGGCAAACTATATAATTACTTTTTATTATTGAAAACAAAGCACCCCCCAAATACATACACATGCACACCCACACTCAATTTGTATTCTTGTTAAGTTGGTGCTTCGTGTCAGGAAGAAGAAACCCATTTTATTTTTCTCATGTTGGTTTTCCCTGAGGTAATAAAATCTACTTACCCGTAATGCCAGAGATGGCAGAGACTAAGAACCATTTTGAAGACTAAGATGAATAGCAAGCAAATTTACAAGTAGTTTGTAAACTGAAGCTTTTAACATGAGAAATTTGCTTTTATCTTACATTGCTAAATATTGCCTATGGTACAGCTGAGAGCAGTGAAACTCCACAAAGCGTTCACTGGCTCTAGAGAGGTATGCATCTG